TCTACCACTTGAGCCACAGCACCACTTCCAGCTTTTTCTGCTTATGTGGTGCTGAGGAATCGAACCCAGGGCCTCAAGCATGCAAGGAAAGCACTCTACCACTGAGCCACCTTCCCAGTCCCTTGACCCTCTTTTAAAAAAATTATTGGGGCTGGGAAGGTGGCTCAGTGATAGAGCGCTTGCCTTGCATGCCTGAGGCCCTCGGTTCGATTCCTCAGCACCACATAAGCAGGAAAAAAAAGCCAGAAGTGGTGCTGTGGCTCAAGTGGGAGAGTGCTAGCCTTGAGCTGAAGAGCTGAGGGACAGAGCCCAGGTCCAGAGTTCAGGTCCCATGACTGGACCTCCAAAAAAAGTAAAAAAAAATATTGTTATTATAAAGGTGATGTACAGAGGGGTTCCAGTTACATAAGTCAGGTAAATAATATATTTCTTTTTGGACAATGTCACCCTTTCCCTGGTTCATTCTATGAGTGTGTTTGACAACTGAGAAAAAATGGACCTGATGCAACAATGAGAAGTACAAAGTCATGTCGAAAACGAGCTTTACAACGTTGGTGCGGGTAGGGAAGGGAGGTGAAGGGTAAACAAAGGAGGAGGCTGCAATGCTTGATAAGAAATGTACGCATTATCCTGCCCATGTAATTGTAACCCCTCTGTACAGTATGTTCACAAAAAAATTAAATTAAAATAAAAAAAAATTTTCAAAAAAAAAAGAAAGCGTAATCTAATTCATGAAATTTATTTATCTTCATTTTACTGTTAAGGAATTAGTATTTGTGTAGCTGGCCAACATGCTCATCCATTTATGTACATACTTGTATAAAATACATATAATGGCTGGGCACTGGTGGCTCATGCCTATATTCCTAGCTGCTCAGAAGGCTGAGGTCTGAGGATCACAGTTCAAAGCCAGCCTAGGCAGAAAAGTCTTCATGAGACTCATATCTCCAGTTTAACCACTCAAAAATTGGAAGTGGTGCTGTGGCTCAAGTGATAGAGCGCTAGCCTTGAGCACAAAGAGGCTCAAGGACAGCACCCAGGCCAAGTTTAAGCCCCAAGACTGACCAAAAAAAAGTTAGCATAGTGAGTATATGTCTTTCTTTCTTTCTTTCTTTCTTTCTTTGTTTTTTTTTTTTTGTTTGTTGTGGGGCTTGAACTCCAGGCCTGGGAGCTGTTCTTGAGCCTCTTTGTGCTCAAGGCTAGCACTCTACCACTTGAGCCACAGCACCACTTCCGATTTTTGAGTGGTTAAACTAGAGATAAGAGTCTCATGGACTTTCCTGCCAGGGCTGGCTTTGAATAGCGATCCTCTGATCTCAGTCTCTTGAGTAGCTAGGATTCTAGATGTGAGTAACGGGCATCCAGCATAAATATTTTTCATTTGTACTATATGGATTTTAATCTATGACATATAACTTTAGATCCATGTTAAATCTTGTTTTAAAGAGAGAAGATGACGGGCGCTGGTCACTCATGCTCGTAATCACAGCTACTCAGGAGGCTGAGATCTGAGAATAGTAGTTTGAAGCCAGACTGGGCAGGAAACTCCATGAGATTCTTATCTCCAATAAACTACTCAAAAAAAAACAAGAACAGCATCCAGGACCAGCAGAGAGGGGGTGGGGGTGGGGTGGAAGGAAGGGGGGAAGTGGGGGAAGGAACATTTCTAAACAACTGGTATTTCTAAGCTAAAAATTGCTAATCTCAGCCTTTTGTTTAACTGAAAGAATACAGCCTGGTCCTTAAGTCTATACAGGCATGCATCAATCTTTTTTTTTGTCAACTCGGCCTGAGCGCTGTCCCTCAGCTCTTCAGCTCAAGGCTGACATTCCACCGCTTAAGCTACAGCACCACTTCTGGTTTTGGGGTGGTTAATTGGAGATAAGAATCTCACAGACTTGTCCTTCTGGAGCTCCCTTTGAATTGCGATCCTCAGATCTCAACTTCCTAATTGAGTAGCTAGGATTATAGGCCTGAGCCTATAATCTTTTAATCTTCACAAAGATAGTCATCTTCACCTTAACCTACATTGCTTAGGAACTCTGTAACCTTCAGCAATTTTTAAACTATTTTTAACTTGTTTTAACTTTTTTTTTACAAATTGGTCATTCACCACTCTTTTTAGAACCTGTTTCCTTACTTGTGAGATATGACTTAGACTTCCTTCTCCCCGCCACATAGGGTGAAGCACTCTAGTGCCCAATAAACACTCCTTTGTTAAAATGGGCTTCTCTTTGTGTAGAGAAAAGACCTTTCATGAGCCTAGGAATACGGCGAAAAGGTCTGAAGGCGAAAAGGTCTCAAGCCGCAGAGTATGGTAAGTAGAGAGCAGGTGTTGCATAAATCCCCAGTGTGGGTGCAGCTAAAGACTAAAACAGATCTCTGTTGGGGCCGCTTAACAAATGCCTTACTGGTTTCCTTCTAGTTGGAATGACTTATTATAAGTCCCTAGAATCACTGTTTTGACGGAGTCTTGTCTTTAAACGGACTTATCAGTTAAAGATAAGCCAAGTGCCTACAGGTAGCCCTCAGGGGACTCACGGGTGTCTAATGTATGCTCTTAGGTGACAGTCATTACCTATTAATGCTCCAGGCTTGTCCCCAGGGTAGGGAGGACTAGAGATTAGTTCAGATCCCTAGAAGGTCCGAAAAAGTGAGAGTTGGATTTAGTCTCGGTACTCGTAGTTAGAGGACCCGCTTACGTGAGCGTGTGGGGTACCGGGGGCTTCCCCTCCCCCACCCTCGCCCCAGACCTGTCTTTCCCATCTCAAGGGCCTAACGGTTAGAAATTGACCCTTAGGAATTTGCCTCTGGGAAGCCCAGACAACCTCCGGCAAAGAACCTTCCAAGGCTGGAGTCCCAGCCAGCCGGAAAAGTCCGCGCGAATGTTCGGCGCACCGACGTTCTCCTAAGCCCCGCGCCCCTCAACCTCACTGCTCCTCCTCCCCCTTGGTCCTCCGACTCCCTCCTCCCGTTCCCCGCCCCGCTCCAGCTCTCGGATTGGTCGAGCCTGCCTTTTGGCCCGCCCCGGGATTTAAAGGGCCCGCTTCACCGCGCCACCTTGAGAGCCGCTGCTGGTCCCGGCCTTGCGGCCTGCGGGGGAGGCTGCCCGGAGGAGGCGGCGACTGTGGCAGCGGCCGTGCGTCCCTGACCCCCAGGATCAAAGCTTCCTTCCTGCCAGGTAAGTCACCAGTAGTTCGCGCGCGGTTCCCCTGCTCCCATCTCTGAGGTGGCCTCCCAGCCAGGATCAAAAGCTCTTGTCCTGGGATCCCTTCCACATCACCTTTCAGACTCCCTTTCTTGTCGTGTCCCCTGCCAACACCTTCGCTTCCCTGTAGTCCCTGGACCCTAGAAGGGCTTTGTTGGCGGCCTTTTGCCTGGTGGGGGTGAGATGGACTCCGCGGATACAGGAACCCTCCCCAACCATACATAGAAAGATGCACTCGGCCTCTAATTGTCACAGAATCCCCCCTCTGTGCCCTCCACACAGAGTGACTACCTTGGAAACCAAAGATCTCCCTTTCCCCTTGGCCTATGTGATATATGGGCCTAGAATGTACATCATTCGATCATCATCACACCAGATTGTTGACTGTATTCAAGACACAGGTCCTTCATTCACTTAAGGTCACAGTGCATTCAGAACACCCACCAACACTCACAGCTGGTGGCTCAGTCTGATGTACTTTAGATTCACATCTTTCCCCAAGCCCTGAGTACCAGCTGTGGGATCAACAGCCCCAAGCTGAAATCTTGAGTCCTCAAGTCAAAGACTAGGAGGCCCCATGGACACCCTGTGCTTCCTTTCTCTGTCTCCCCCCTCCCCCCTTGGCAGATCTAACCACCTGTCCATCCTTCCATCCATCCATCCGTGGGGGTCCACAATGGCCACCTTCAGCCGCCAGGAATTTTTCCAGCAGCTACTGCAGGGCTGTCTCCTGCCTACTGTCCAGCAGGGCATTGACCAGATCTGGCTACTCCTTGCCATCTGCCTCGCCTGCCGCCTCCTCTGGAGGCTTGGTAAGTGCCTGTCACACCATGTGACACCATGTCAGATGTTAGTATATTTGCCACAGTTCATCCATACCAAGCCATATCGTGCCAGGCCAAGCCAAGCCCCAACAGACTTAGCTCATCAGGCCAGGCTCCACTCCATCATACCCCATCATACAGTGCTTCAGCACATCATGCCACACGTGCAAAGCCACAACCCGTTATAGCAAGTCTTGTCTTTCAGTATCTTAGATTTTGGAGATTGGAAAGTCAAGCTTCTTCCTATCTTGAGATAGAAATATTTATAGCCTAAGGTTATGAGATTGTGGAATGCTGATGTTACAGGATTAGGGAATCCCAAAGTACCATGATTAGAGGGTTTGGAGATACTGACAAGTTGAAGTTCTCACTTTCTAGGTTTCCAAATGTGGGTACTCTGGATTTCTATAATCAAGGCATGATGAGATTTCAGGATTCTGGGATCCTGGAGTGTTACCACATTTACAGCAGGCTCGCATACAAATGATAAGATTCGAAGCCCTTGAGCTTAGTAGTGGTGACCTATCTCACTACTCAGGAGGGTGGGATCTGAGGATCATGGTTTAAAGCCAGCCTGAGCAGAAAAGCCCAAGAGACTCTTATCTCCAAGTAATCAGTAAAAAGCTAGAAGTGGAGCTGTGGCTCAAGTGGTAAAGTATCAACTCTGAACAGAAAAGATTAATCCAGAGCATGAGGCCCAAACTTCAAGCCCCAGTATGGCATAGACACAAAAAGGTTTGAAGTCCTGAGAACTTCTGTAGGTTGCAAAATTTTTGAAAACCTTAGATTCAAAAGTTCTACTCATTTCCCATTTTATTTTAAGTGAATATCTTATTTTTCCCCAGGATGATGATGATGATGATGATGATTATTTAGCTTTTACATCATCTTAATTCTCAGAGCCAACCTGCATGAGTTTACAATACCCTCATCATTGCCAACTATTGTAGGAATCATAGTCCTTCTTACATGTACCTTCTTACATGTACTCGTACTCAACAAAGAGTTCTGGGTTGCCAAAGAGGATTCGCTGATTGCACCTGTTGGTAAGGCTTTGTTACAAATTAAACAAAGACACATACACACAAATGCTATGGGATCATTATTTTTACATATTTCAAAGCTACTGAAAAATAGGACAGTACAATGAACACCCATATATGTGTAATCAGATTCCCCAAACTTACCATCTTGTCATGTTAGCTGGCTTTACCCTCCTTTCTGTCCATCTATTTATTACCATCTATCCATCCATAATCTTCCTGAACCACTTAAATAATGTGCTGACATGACATTTCACTATAAAACCTTCAATGTATTATGGGCCCCAAGAACAAGAAAATCTTCTCCCATGGTTTCAACCATCTCCCCCCTAAAAATTTTAACCTACTGAGCACTGGTAGCTCACACCTACTCCATCACCATTCTCATCTACCTACTTAGGAGGCTGAGAAATGAGGATGGTTCAAAGCTAGCCTGGGCAGGAAAAGTCTGAGAGACTCTTATCTCCAGTTAACCACCAAAAGCTAGAAGTGAAACTATGGCTCAAGTAGTGGAGTGCCAGCCTTGAGCAAAAAAGCCAAGGGATTGCACCTAGTCCTTGAGTTCAAGCCCCAGTACCAGAACCAAAAACAAAACAAAACAAAAAAAACCCAACACTTGGGAATAGTCATATTGTCCAACGTGAGCTGATATTTAAATTTCTTCCAGGGTCTCCAAAATATCCTTAATAGTTGTTTCTTTTCTTTAAACCCAGGCTCTGGCACCCCAGTCAGCTCCCCAATACCAGCTTTGGGTCCCCTCCAGTCCCATCACATTCTAACCTCTAGACCTTTGCCCAGGCTGTGTGCCCTCTGCCCAGGTCCTCTTCCCCTTCCCACCAGTCCACCAACCTCCCCTTTTCTTGTTCTCTCCCTCTCTCTATCTCTCCCTCTTTCTCTCCCTCTCTCCTCTTCTCTCTCCCTGTCACCTGAAGGGTTACCATCCTACCTGAAGCATGCAAGCACCGTAGCAGGCGGGTTCTTCAGCCTCTACCACTTCTTCCAGCTGCATATGGTTTGGGTCGTGCTGCTCAGCCTCCTGTGCTACCTCGTGCTGTTCCTCTGCCGACACTCCTCCCACCGAGGCGTCTTCCTCTCCGTCACCATCCTCATCTACCTACTCATGGGGTATGGGTTTGTGTCTTCATCCTCCCTGTTAAAAGAAAGTCAAAGGTAGCCAGGTTGCTCATTCAGGAGGCTGAGATCTGAAGATTGACCCTCAAAACCAGCCTGGGGCAGAAAAGTCCATGAGACTCATATCTTTCCCTACCAAAAAGTCAGAAGTGGAGGTGTGGCTCAAGTGGTAGAAGACTAGCCTTGAGTGAAAAAGCTAAGGGACAGCATCCAGATGCTGAGTGCAAGCCCCGGTACTGGCACAAAAAAAGAAAGGAGTCTGGGAGAATTGTTCAAACAGGGTACCCTGTAGACTTGTCCTTTTGTGAAACTGTATAGAATGGGTTGGGCATAAGCTTGTCCTGGAAAAGGGATCCTGTGAATTGTGCAGAGCAGGAGAAGGCACCTTGGAATCCCCCACCTTCCTGTTCTGTGATCTCCATGATGTCATGGGTACTGGGGGACTAAAACTAGTACCTTATTTCCTCAGTGAGATGCATATGGTGGACACAGTGACATGGCATAAGATGCGAGGTAGGTGGCCTTGTCCCAGCCCTCCTATCCCTTCCATATCCCAGCTACCCCTGCCCTGACTCTTTCCTCCCGTACTTTTCTCCTCTTCCATCACCCCACCATGCAGACCTTGCTTTCCCCTTGAATCTGTGGCTCTTCCCACCGTTTTCCCCACCAGTCTGTCTGTCCATCTATATGGGTCTGATGCTCTTGAGTAAGGCTATCTACCTGTCCTGGACCAACTTGCCTACTAAGCTGTCTAACTCTGTACCCACCCACCACTTTTTTCCTTTGTGTGTTTGTGTTTGTGTGTATGTGTGTGTGCGCGCGCGTGTGTGTGCGTGTGTATGTGTTTGGTACTGGGGTTTGAACTTAGGGCCTTGCACTTGCTAGACACATGCTCTACCAACTGAGCTATGGCCCCAGCCCAGGACCCCCATTTTCCTACTCACCTCCCACCTGGTACACCCTATCCCTCCAAACTGACCTGCTCACTTGCCTGTCCACTTGACCATGGGCCCCATACATAGGGGCCCAGATGATCGTGGCCATGAAGGCAGTGTCTCTGGGCTTCGACTTGGACCGGGGCGAGGTGGGTGCAGTGCCCTCACCTGTGGAGTTCATGGGCTACCTCTACTTCGTGGGCACCATTGTCTTTGGGCCCTGGATATCCTTTCACAGCTACCTACAGGCTGTCCAAGGCCGCCCACTGGTGAGTTCCCCAGTGGAAAAGTGGGGACAGGGGCTGTGGGAGCTGCCATGGGACAGAGTTTATGGAGTCTTAATTCCTACAGAGTCGCCGATGGCTACGGAAGGTGGCCTGGAGCCTGGCCTTGGCCCTGCTGTGCCTCGTACTTTCCACTTGTGTGGGCCCCTACCTCTTCCCCTACTTCATCCCCCTTGATGGTGACCGCCTCCTTCGCAAGTGAGCACAGCCTTCCAGGCCCTTGCCCAGCAGTGGGGGGGGGGGGTAGAATGGGGTGGGCTAGGGGCCTGGGGTCTGCCCAACTTTGAGCCTGTCTCTTAATGCTTCTGTCTGTCTTCTGTTACTACAGCAAGAAACGCAAGGCCAGGTAAATGAGGGCAGGTGCTGAGGGCGAATGGGATGACCCAGGGTGGGGGCACAGCTTTGGACCAATTGGTTCCAGAAGTCTGAATCTATCTGACCATGGCTAGACAGAGATTGAGTGTCCATCAGTGGATGCCTGTTTGACCAGGATCAGCTCTGTGACTCCATGGATGACTGACACTCTGACACAATGTGTCTGGCTGTCCATCTGTTCACTTGTTTCACCATTAGAAACAAGTTACATGGCTCTCATGGGAAGTGACAAGTGTGTATTGCTTGGTGAATCTAAAGTGTCTCTGACTCTGGCTAGGGGGATGCATGACTTGTTTGCTGATGGTCACTGATGCCGTGAATGTGGGACTGTGATGGGGTATGTGGCCATCATTGGCTGGGAAAAAGCTGAGCTGATGATTCTGGCCTGCTAATTGTAGTCTGCCTATAATATGTAGTGTGTCTTTCTATGATGGATCCTGCCTGTGTGTCTGCCTTCTCTGATTGTGTGGTGTTCTCTAACTGAGAGATTATGGCCAACTGTAAGCCTGTGCCTGTCTACCTCTGGCTTTTACACCAGCATTGGGTCTGGCTACATGATTGACCCCCATCCCTAATCCACTGGCTGTTGATTATGTCTGATGCTAAAGCAACTTCAAAAAGTCAAATGAACTGGGTGGTGGTAGCTCACCCCTGTAATCCTACTCAGGAGACTGAAATCTCAAGATCATGGTTCAAAGCCAGCCTAGACAGAAAAATTCTCTGAGACTCTTATCTGCAGTTAACCTGTAAAAAGCAAGAAGTAGAGGTGTATCTCAAATGGTAGAGTGCCAGCTTTGAGTGAAAAACCAAGCAAGAACATGAGGCCCTGAGTTTAAGCCCCAGTATTGCTCACGTGCACATGCGCATGTATACACACACACACACACACACACATCAATGACCAGCATCCCCAAGTTAAGCAGGCAGGCATGAATCCCAGAGCTGATTTCAGACTGTGTGCACAATGCTGCCCAGCTTTGAACATATCTGATGATGAAGCTAGTGCGTTCTGTGTGTGTGTGTGTGTGTGTGTGTGTGTGTGTGTGTGTGTGTGTGTGTGTGTGTGTGTGTGTGTGTGATTGGTCTTGTTAGCGAATTCTGTTAGAGAACTTGAAGGCTGGAAAGCTGAAAGCATTTGTGTTTGGCTGGGTGGCCATTTCCAGGTGCAGGACCATGTCATATCACAGAACAGCTTATGCATCCTTTTAAGCCACTTAAAACCCACTGCCTGACAGTGTATGTGGGTGTATGACTCTCATAATCTGCCTCTTGCCACTATGCTTCTGTCTGTCTTGTCTATGAAGAACTCAGGCCGGCTCCCAGGGCCTCTCTGACTCTTCTTTTCTTTCTTCTCTGCTGCCTTCCTGACCCCTGGGGGGCCCTAGAGGCACCTTGGTAAGGTGAGTCCACAGAGTGGGGGCTAGGGATGCTGACACATGGTGGGGTATCATGGTGGGGCGTAGGTATGATGCCTCTCTCCCTGCCCCTCTGTCTTTAGGTGGCTCCGAGCCTACGAGAGTGCTGTGTCCTTCCACTTTAGCAACTATTTTGTGGGCTTCCTGTCTGAGGCCACAGCCACGTTGGCAGGGGCTGGCTTCACAGAAGAGAAGGATCACCTGAAATGGTAGGGAGGGCTTGGGGGCCTAGTGTCACACAGGGTGCTGCCTAGAGGAGCTACAGGGAGGGAAAAGGGGGATACCCAGGGAAGAAAGAGCTAAGACAAAAATGTGGCAACCGGCCATCCACCAGTGACTCATGCCTGTAATCATAGCTACTCAGAAGGCCAAGATTTGAAAATCAGGTCAAAGCCAGACCATATAGGCAAGTCCAAGAGACAGTGATCTCCAATTAACAAGCAAAAAAATCAGAAGTGAAGCTTTGACTTGAGTAGTAGAGTCCTTGAGCACAAAAGTTCATGGACAGTACCTAGGCCCTCAGTTCAAGGCCCAGGACTAGCACACACAAATGTGGAAGCCAGATGGGTTGAGATCCCAATAAGATTTACACATCCTTTTCATCTACAGGGACCTGACAGTGTCCAAGCCAATGAAAGTAGAACTGCCCCGATCTATGGTGGAAGTCGTCACAAGCTGGAACCTGCCTATGTCTTATTGGTTAAACAACTGTGAGTCACCAAGTCACCTTTCCAGGGGAGTTGATAATCCAGGACCCTTTAAACATTTATACAGTAAATATATTAAACAAATACTATGTGTTGAATACTAAAGATACAAGGACTAAAAAAAAAATATGCCTGTAATCCTAGCTACTCAGGAGGCTGCGATCTAAGGATCATAGTTCAAAGCCAGCCTGGGCAGGAAAATC